CTATGAATTGGCAAGATCTTTTAAGCACTTGATCACCCTCTTAGAATTCTCTTAGATGAACTTTCTTGTTATGAGCTCGTATCATATACTTCTGGTACATTTGACCATGATATATAGCTTTCAATCTCTTTTTTTTCAATGAGGTTTAACTGATCATATCGAGCTTGAGCCCACTCAGCTTCATCCAACTCTATTTTTTTCAAAATCCAAAGTGAATGAATTTAAACTTCAATGGGCAATATTGCTTCCATTCCATAAACCAAAGAAAATGGTGTTTCCCCCATCAAAGTTCGCACTGTAGTATGATATGCAAACAAAGAGAATGGTAACTTTTTATGCCAATCTTTGTAAGTACCATTAGTTTTTAAGATAATTTTCTTTATATTCTTATTTGCTTCCTCTACTGCTCCATTCATCATTGGACGGTAGGTAATTGAATTATGATGCTTTATTTTGAAATGTGCACACAACTCTGTCATCATATCATTGTTCAGATTAGTGGCATTGTCAGTAATAATTCTCCCTGGCAACCCATATCGACAGATTATATCTTTCTTGATAAACTTGCACATTGTTGATCTTGTAATATTGGCGTAGGAAGTAACCTCTACCCATTTAGTGAAATAATCGATAGCAACCAGAATGAAGCGATGGTCATTCAAAGCCTTTGGAGAAATTGCCCCAATGATGTCCATGCCCCACATCGAGAATAATCATGGTGCAATCATTACATTCAATGACAAATGGGGTGCATGAATCTTATCAGCGTAGATCTGACACTTATTGCCTTTTCTGGAATATTCCATGCTATTTGTCTCCATGGTGGACCAATAATATCCATACGTCATGATTTTTCGGGCCATAGAAAGCCCATTTGCATGTGTTCTACATATTCCACTATGCACTTCTTCAACGACATTCTTTGCTTCTCTAGCATCACACACCTCAGTAAAACTTGATCTCTACCGTTTTTATAGAAAATTTCCCCATAAAGTATATCCTGAAGCCATCATTCTAATATTTTTTTTCTACCTCAGATGATCGTTACGGGTATGTTTGATACTTGATGTATTGCAAAATATCATGGTACCACAGATAACTATCTACATCTTCTTCCAGGCTGTAGTAGTGTGTTGAGATCCTGTACACTTGCATTAGGATTGGCATCATACCTGCCCTTTTACTTGCCCGAAACATCGTAGCCAAAGTGGCCAAAGCATATGCCATCTGATTCTCTTCTGGGAGGTAAGTGAATATGATTTTTTAAATTCTTTGATCAATTCAATGATCAAATTTCAATATTCAACTAATTTTGAATCATTTGTCTCCCATTCACCTCGCAGCTAATAAACCACCAGCGCAGAATCTCCATATACTTTAAGCACTTTTTCCCTTCCCAAGGCTGCTCTTAAACCCATGTCACATGTTTCATACTTTTCCATATTGTTTGTGCAAATTAATCTCATTCTACTGGTAAGCGGATAATATACATTTTTTAGAGAAATTAGCACTGCCCCAATTCCACGTCCCAAATCATTAGATGCCCTATCAAAATAGAGCTTCCAAGATTCATCATGTTCATTGCCTTCTTCAACTGTGATACACATCAGATCCTCATCTAGAAAATTAAAGTTTAGGGGCTCATAATCATCGGAGGCATGACTTGCGAGGAAATCTACTATAGCACTTCCTTTTATTACCTTTTGGCTCATTTACACGAAGTCAAATTCTGACAATAACATTTACCAATGAGTCATTCTCTCAATCAAGGCCAGAGATTCCGTCAAAAACTTTAATGGATCAAGCTTGAAGATTAGCCATATGGTGTGATACAACATATACTGTTAGAGTCTTCGGGTTACCCAAACCAAAGCCAAACATAACTTTTGAATTTGTAGATATCTTGACTCAGAATCGGTGAATTTCTTGTTCAGGTAATAGATCACTATTTCTTTCTTCTCAGACTCATCATGTTTCCCAAGCACACATCCTATTGAATTTTCAAATACAATTAAGTAGAGAATTAATGTTCTGCCAGGAACTGGTGCTACCAAGATAGGAGCGTTCGACAGATATTTCTTGACTAGTTCCAAAGGTTCCAGAGATTTAGAAAGTGGTACTCGTCGCGGGTAGTGGGCGGGTGATGGGTTTGAAACCTTACCCGCCCCGCATCTGCCTGCCCCGTATCCGCCTGCCCACTAAATACCCATTAAATTTTGGACCATTATAAATTTAGGTATAATTTTAGGGTTTATCATTTATGTGTTCCAAAGAACAAAAATATTATGCGTTTGTCATTTATGTTTATAGGCTTTAATTATATATTTTATTATGGTGTTTTATATACTTTAAGATCTATGTTAACATTTAACTCACATAATCCTTGGTTTATTTTATTATGTTTCTTAATGGACGTGTTTGTTTTATGTTTGTTTCTTATGTATAACTTAAGGTTGCTCTAAGGCGGGTCTAGACGGGTACATCTCCAGTTGGGTAGTGGGTGTGGGGATGGATTTAAGAATGTACCCGTGTGGGCGGGTGTGAATTTGAAAAATTTTACCAATCATATGTGGTGGGAGGGAGGTGGATTTGAAAATATTAGGTGGGTATGGGGATGGGGGAGGGGGTATCCGCACCCGACCCGCCTGTTTGCCATCCCTAGCATCACGTTGAGTATGGACCCATTGTCAATCAAACACAACACATGGCCATTACAATGGGTGGTAATGTTTAGAACCTTTACAAATCCCCTACCTCCTTCCAGGATCTCATCATCAGTGAAAGTAATATAATTGTCTACAGCGATGTGGTTCACTATTCGAACCATTTTGTTAATGGATATATCCTCCGGTACAAAGGTTTGATTTAGTACTTTTAATAAAGTGTTTCAATGCACCTCTGAATTAATCAGCAAATCCAACACTGAAATTTGTGCTAGTTGTTTGTGCAGGATCTCCACTACGTTGTATTCGTTGTACCTCAAAAATTTTAAGAACTCTTGGGCTTACGCTTCAATAATAGGCTCATTAATCTTTGGCGAGGGCTCTCCCTCAAATATTTTCTGAGCTTGACTTTTATTTTCTTGACCTATTTTGATGATTCAGGAGGAGAGTAACATCTACCACTCCTTGTGAAGTTCCCCACTTCACTAATCACCTCGAAAGGCGCCTTCATTTTCTCATCAACGCTTACTTGTACCTCTTATAACACTTTTGGCCCTTCCACGGTCCTCACCTCCCCTGATACGGAGATATTGGCAGTGTAGCTCCACGGTACCCTATATGAATTATTGAATAAAAAATAAGACGGGGTGAAAATCACTATTTCCATAGTGATAGGTGCATGACCTACCACATTGGGCTTCATAGTGATAACAATCAGCTTCCTAGCCCCATATGTAGGTTTAGTGTAATCTGACGTGCATACCTCATCTTATTTTCTTTCTTCAATATTCTCAAAAAATTCAATCTCTTTATTGTCCATCATTGATTAAATTAAAGCCTTGAACTTGTGGTAATGTTGGATCTCATGCCTTTTATCCTTGCAAAATTTACAAAACAATCCACTTTCATCCTGATCAGAAATTGAATTTTGATTAATCAAGCCAGCACATGCAAGTTGCTCAAATACCTAATTGAGTGGTGACTTGATTTCAGACACGTGATTTTTTCTCTTTCTCCTACTTTCTTCCTATATGGAATTTATTCCTTGTCTTCCATGATTGGGCAATGGATTCTTCATGACATCGGGAGAATTGAACTCTAGCATCCCGATATCAATCAAGTTTTGTACCAACTTTTTGAAAGCCACACAATTTTCAATCGAGTGCATAATAATATCAGCGTGATATTCACACGTGAATTCACATCATACCATTTTGGATAAGGCAGTTGAAGTGGTTTGAGGTGGTACGGACGAACTACGTTTGATTTAAACAAAGATGTATACAATTCATTATAAATCACTGGAATCGGTGTGAACGTTAATTTCTCCACCTCTCTTATTTGACCCCGGTACTCGCCTCTGTTAATGTTAGACTCCTCACCAACAACCCTTGGTGGAGTAAACGTGACATTCTTTGAGTAGCCCTTATTGTAGGTAGTAGCAATATTTACTTCATTGTCTCTCTTTTTGAATACTCGCTTCTCTACCTCGATTTTTTTGCTCTTGATAGCTGCCTCAATCAGCTCGCCTGAGATTACCATGTCAGAGAAGCTTCTTGAAGAACTTCCCAACATGAGATCCAAAAAAAGACCTTTCAGTGTATAAAGTAAAATGACTATTGTTTCCTTCTCCAAAAGCGGTGGCTGAACCAGCACAACCAAATCTCTCCATCTTTGGGCATATTACCGGAAACTCTCATTGGGCTTCTTTTTCATATTCATCAGGACTACCCGATCAGGTTTCATGTCAGTGACGTGTCTATACTATTCAAAAAATTCTTCGGACAAGTCCTTCTGTGATCTAGCATTTGCACGACTCAACTGTGCGTGCCATCAGGTGTCTATACTATCTTGAAAATAATGAATGAGCAACTTCTCGTTGTATAGAAACCCAACCATCTTTCGATAATACATCGTGAGGTGAGCAGATGGGCAACTGGTGCCATTATATTTCTCAAATTCAGGAGTTTTGAATTTGTGTGGGAGAACCATATCGGGCACCAGACTGAGCTCTCTGTCGTCTATGCCATATTCGTCAATGGATTCCAATGCCCTGACTTTATCCTCTAGCTTTTTATAGTGATCTTCAAATTGTTTGGCTAATTCAGACTTAGCCTTATCACCCTCTCTAGGTAAATTCAAGTCAGGAGTTTCATCATCATGGTATTCAATATTATCATTGAGGTGAACATAGTGCGTTGCAGATCCTCCAGCTACGTTAATTTGGATTCCTCCACCAAGCGACATATTTTTGGGATGATCCCTTAGATGAATCGATGAACCATGATCAACCAAGTTGGAATCTTCGGCAGGACCTTTCTGCTTGGTGTCGACCCTGAGTAATGCGACAATTTGATTTACAACATCCTTCTGAGATTGAGCCACCTGGTCCCTCATATTGCTTTAGATGTTTTCCAAACAAATTTTCAGGCGCTTCTGGGCCTCTTCAAGTTCCTTCAGTTTATATTTCATGTTCTCTTTAGCTTTTCCCCAAGTAATATACGAGTGATAAGTACTTTTACTAGGAACCAGTATATATTCGAATGAAAATATTCAATTATTAAAAAACTTAATGAATGAATATATAAATGCAAATAGATATTTGTAATGAAACAATAAAATACAAAATTAATGAATACAAGAGGTATTGATATCGGAAAGTAAACTACCATAGAATAACTTTCGAAATGAAAACAAAGTCTCATACACCATGATTTCTCTCTACAAGTACGATCTAGCCCTCCTACTCAAAGCTACAAAGCAATCAACGACAAAACTCTCCGGCTGCTCTCTGAAACTAGGTCAATGAAATGTTCAACTATCTTAGCTTGGGCGGCCAACTCTCCCAAGTATCAGGCGACCTCGCTCATCTGGATCAATGCTTCAATGATGATGCACTCCTTAGCAGTATTTTGGTCCTCGTAGGTGTTTATCGCCTCTTGTCTCTTGTCTTGGACTTCACTAACGGCATAATTAAGATTGGAAATATGCTCCTAGCAATATTGTAATTCCTCCTCGAGACCTTGAACCTAACGACACAAAGAAATCCTCTGCTGGAGGCTCTCACTAAGATACCTCGGCTCTCGAAACAAATCATGCTCTAACTGCGTGATGTACCTCATGAACTCAATGTTCTTAGCCCGAAACTGAGCTAACTGCTTATCACTTCTCTCTCGAGCGTCTTGTATCCTCATATTCAGATTCGTAATCAGGCCAGCCTTATCTTTGTTCCTATGGATCCAAGTATGAGTGATCCCTCTTTGTATCCCGAGCTCAGTCTCCTGATGCTTCCTCTCGAGGTCTAATCTTATATTATCGACCTCCAAGTGTTCGATCCTCTGTGCCTTGACATCAAGCTCTGCCAGTAGCTGACTCACCTCAGCCTCAAAATCCTTCAACACAGTGCTCATTTTCGCTTTCTGTGCCTCTAATTTGGTGACTTGATCATTCACCTTTTGAAAGCTCTCTACTTAAACCCTGAATCTGACGACCATTTTCCTTAGACTTTATGATCTGGCCCCTCATATTCTCTTCCAACTCCTCGACAATCTTTCACTGGCGCTCAACCTCAGCCTCTAACTCTTGAACCTGACACTTTTCGATGTTTAACTCTTGGGTCCACTGCATTGAAGTTTTGCTGAATCCAACTGCTGCCTTCATCTTTTGCAAACTCTTGTAGTGTTTCCTTAGGTCTTTGTGATCCAACTCGAGTTGATCATTTCTTTTTCTCATCATCTCAAACTAAGTTGCATGAAAATCAACATCGAGACTGCCACGGATCTCTCATACTCAAGTTGCTCCAACTTCGTAACCCATTTGACTATTTCAACCTCAAACTCAACCCTAACAATCTCAACCTCTGATGGGAAGACCCAGATTGCTTCCTTCATAGGAACGACTTTGCCCAGGTCTAGAAGAGGAACATTCTCATTTGCTCGAGTGTGCCTCCACCATTCTTAGTTCGGCATCACCATAATGTCAGCTGGCTCTGTTTGAGTGTGAAATGTCTTCTTCTAGGACTCGATTGCCTCGCGAAGGCTCTTTTTATAACCATTTCCCTGGAAAGTAAAATCAGAGGTAGAAAGTTCGAAAGTAGCTAGAATGAACTAAAGACCCCTAAACTACCTCAATGCTAACAATGGTGCGTAACATGCGGCTCCCCAAAGTCCAAGCAGAACAACCCAATCTCTATCACCAACTTTGAAAAAGAACTCGGACTGAATATGCCACGAAGCATGCCAAACCATGTCTGAATCCTAGAGATTTCGAGTGCTCTCATCCAAGTATCTTTGTCAACATGTGGCCATTTCTACTCCAGAAATTCCTTTAAAGGCGAATATTGAGTGCTGAAGTGGTGGTAAGACACCTTCTCAATTTTCCAGAAGTGACTGCAGATTCAGACGTAAAACAATTGAGCACTCCCAAAAATCAGCTCCCTCCAACTCGTCGACAAATATCTAGGGATCGAAAAGTCCCAGATAAAATAGCGGGAGTTGGGTTTATTTTCCTTACCAACTGATCGACCAAATCAACTACAACTGCCTCGATGTACCCCAAGGCAATTGGGATGATAACTAAACCATAAATCCTTAAGGCTAAAAGGTACAACCGAACTTGCTCATTCGGATAGTGGATCAGGACTTATTTAATGCTAAGTTAGGTGATGCCTTCACCTTCACCCTACTGTCTGGTCCGAGACGTGACCTACTCTTCGTGCACTCTGACGATCATAGCTAACTTGATACGGAAGGGCTGAGGCTTGATTGATTTGGAATAAACTTAGTCCTCCTGGATCCCCTCGATACGTAGAAAAGCGGTGTGCTCCTCCAAGATAGGCACCAAATCCATTTGATTACTGGTGAAACAATGGTAACCCGAATTCCAAAACTGAATCAGAGCTCTCACGAGATCATCCTCTACCTCGACATCTAGGAGGTAGGCGACATCACTAAAACATTGCTGGAATTTCTTCATCATCTCGGGTTGCCACTTCTCCCATATCTTGTGCAGATCAAACATATCATTTCTCTTCAAAGAAATGGAAGCATACTCAGACAGACTGGACACGTGACCGGTTGACAAACTATCCCCCTCTCCTTCTGTAGAGCCTCATACCACAGGCATACTTCTACATTAGGAACTATCTGATTAACGTTCTTGTTTTCCATCTATAGCAAGCCTTCTATTTCCACAGTCGACTAAAGAACCAATACCTCTGTCTATGAATGATGCAATAAACACAAAGAAAGTGAAAGCAAAGAAAAACAATGGTTAGTATCGTCATAGTAATAAGTAAAATACAATAGTAATAACTAAAACAATAGTAAAACCTAGTATGTATGATTTTCTAGTTCGCAAGCAATGGCATAAAGAAAGAGATAAAGATTTAAAGTTGAATTCTCCCATGTGTACTTAATACCTACGGTGAAATTTCGGCAGAGTTTCACATCGGGTGGATCTAAGGTAAATTAGATGCATGGTTTCGGCTCTAAAAGGGTAAGGTACTCGAAATTATTCTCGCTGATGCCCCCTTGGGCAAGTTAGACCCTCGATCCTCACCTATTACAGGCTTGCGGGTCAAGTTAAATTTCAAAATGGAGCATTACTCTATGCCTGACACGAGGAATAAATTCCTACGAAGACATAGGTACTTTGGACCCTAAAAATTACTCGCTAGTTCTGTACGGAGAATAAATTCTCATAAAGACGTCACTTTCACTCTCACTCAAAAGGACAACTCGGGTATAGAGCAAATTTCATGAATGCAGACGTGTAGAGTGTGAGGAGAAATACACAAACCTTTAACTAAACAAGCGGTCTATGATTTAGAGATTTTGAGTTCGGAAGTCGATTACTTTTTGAGAAGGATTAACACCCCCACAACGCCCAAAATTGGTACCTTTAATTATTAATTTATCCTTATATCAAAAATTAAGAAATTCGAATATTTGTTTAATTAATGAACCTTTTATTCCCTAAAATATTTTAAATTTAGAGAGATGCATAATATTCTTTATTTCCGATTAAAGAAGAAACTAACCCCTAATTGAAATTAAGGTAGTTATTTCTTATGTTTTAATCGAAATAATGAAACATTGTCATCCTTAAAAATTAAAGAATTAATAAGTTATTAAACTCTACAAGAAATTCAAAAGTGACAAATTAGCCAATTTAATATTTAAAAGAATCAGGACGTTCCTTGATTTAAAGAACGAAGGACAAGCCTTTGAATAAGGCAGACAACTTGTCCTTAGCAATTTAAATGTAGGAATAAACCTCTACCATTTCGTTAAAAATTAGTGAACCTATTTAATTTTCGCGGTAACCACTTGATAGAATATTTATTTATTCGAAAAATATTGAAAAAGAATGTCTAGTTATTTTAAGACCACCCCTTTCAATATTTAGGAACAAAATAATATTCTTTATGAATTTGTGAATTTATGTTTATATGTTTCTAATCAAATTTTATTAAAGATACTAAACCTAAGAGGCATTACTAAACTTATTGATTACTAATTAAAGAGCCTAAACTAAGGCTTTAATTAATAAATAAAGCACTTAAAATCTAAGGCTTAATTAAAAAGTCCAAAGACTAATTTAATATTAGTGATCAAATTAAAAATATTGAAAAATCTAAAGGTTTTATTTAATAATTAAACAAGTGACCATTTTAAAAGATTCACAAATTAACAATTGATATTAAGAATTAAACACATCTAATAAAGGATTCAAGGCAATTGGAAAGAAAATAATGACTAAATTGAACTCAATAAAAATTTGGGATACAAATTACAAACAATTAGTGACTAAAATAAAATAAATAGAAATTTACGGAAAAAAAGCAAAAACATGCTAAAAGTTGAGTGTTTTAATGACCAAAAATTTTAACTATAAGACCCCAAAAAATTAGGAAAAGCCTCATTTTTACTCTTCAAAAATTCTCCTCCCCTAAAATCCTCTCAACCGAAAAATGCCCAAATTCACCATGTTCTTCCTTTGTTCTTCATGTTCATCCATTATTCATCAAAAAAGCACATACTAGATCCTACACAAACACCAAAACTCACCCAAAATTGGTTTTCAAAGATCAAACACCCATATTTCTTATGAAATATCAAATGTTCATCTTCCAAAACCAAGTTTGATACCCTAAAAACACCCAAAACTAGTTTTTTTTAAGATCAACCCGAACTTTTCCCTTAAAATCTCAAGAACACCCAAAAACCCAAAACCAGACTCTTCTTAATCCTTAAGCTTAAAACACTACCCAAACACCCAACATCAACACCCCAACACCGATCGGCCACTTCCCCATCACCAAAACCAACGCCAACTGAAGCTTCCATCGTCGGCCACCTCCGGCCGACCACCTCAAAACCCCCAAAAAAACACATATTCAAACCGAAAATAAAAGGAGACTCACCCTACAAATCTTGCTTCCATCCGGCGATGGTAAGCTTTCCTTCATTCATTTCTTTCGAGCTCTTGATGATTGCTTTAGCTTACTAAATCTTGTGTGTTTAGTGATAATGGATGAAACCCATTTATATTGTTGATTTTTTTCTACTGTATTAACGACTTCCGCTCAAAACCGTTGAGAAACGGTTGCAACGGCTTCGAATTCTATAACATTTAGAATCTTTTATTTTTTTCTAATTTTTCATGATTTGTTTTTGCATGATTCTAACACAAACAACAATAGAGCTTTTGATCTATGTATTTAGCATTAATGAAAAGATATTATTGTTTTCTTTTTAGTTTTTTTTTTTGGATTTCTATGTAATTAAGGGGAGGAAAAGAGAGAAAGAAGAAAGTCATCCATTATAATCCGAAAGAGAAGAGCAATAAAAGTAGTTTTTTTTTTTGTTTAAAGGTAATTCTTCTTTAATTTTTTTGTGTATTTTGTTTCAGTCATCTCGACATTTGCCTTTGTTTGAAAATTCCATAAGATAGATAACCAATGAATAAGAAAAATACTATCAAATAAATTTTCATAGATCTAGTTTTCTTTGAGGTTTTTCGATGAAAACTAATGGTGGATTTTGAATGAAAAAATATTTTTTTAATTTTATTTTTTATTCAAAATTTGAAATGAATAAAATAATTAATATTTTGCTATATTCAATTAAATGACCCAAAGACCCAATTTAGACCGTTAGGGGATCCACAGATTTTATAATTGGTAGGGTAAAATCCTTTCCTCCGCCTATTGAAGTTGTTTTAAACACTCAACTTGGTCTCTTTTTTATCAATCATATTTTTTATTCCTTTTAAATTAGAATTTCATTTTTATTTTAATCCACTTTAGCCTTTTTTTCTTTTTTTAATATGTATAATTTCCGTTTTGATTTTAATAATTTATTTTAATTTTCTTAATCTATACGAGTGTTTCCTCTTTAGCTTATGTTTTTTCCTTTTTGTTTTTCCCCCTTCTGTTTTCATTATACTTTTTTTATTTAAAGTCTTCGTCTAATATGATTTTGTTTCCTTGTCTATTCAAAAAAAAATTCCTTCAATATTTCCTTTTTTCTTTATAATTATGATCATTTATTTATTTATTTATTTATTGAGTGTCTTGTATATAATTATTCCGCATAACCTTTTAATTTCTTTTATTTATTTATTTATATTATTAATTCCATTATTTTTTTATATATTTCCGTTATATTGGTAAGCCATTGATAATTTGGAAACCATTACAATTAAGTTCCTACCCTCCTAAAATTTTTCGTATAATTATTTTTAGTACACTGTCAGTTTTAAAATTAATAGAATTAAACTTTAACCCTAAATTTATTTGATTTAATTATTTTTAAGGCATTTGAATTTAAAATTAATGAAATTGAATCCCTAATCTCTTAATTTTTATGGTTAGTTACTTTTTAAACTTTATTTATTTTTAAATTAAACAATTTGCCTCCCTCATTGTTCAATTCGGGCTCCGTCTATGTGCGCAAATTAGTTCCAACTTTGGCCTTTTTTAGATAAAACCTTTTGAATTATTTATTTATTTTACAATGGTAAATTCTTAAGAGGTAAATAAGTGGATCATTATTTAATTGGCTCAAACTTTAATTTTCATTATCAAGACAATTCGTAACCGTGTTAATACTGAAAGGACATGTGGGGTGTTCAACTTTCTCCACACATAATCGAATCTTCAACCCTTCCATATAAGTCTCTGATAAGACGTAGATATGGTAAATTTTATGTATCCGACTTTACCTAATCCAAAAGGCGGGCGATGACTCCAAAAAAGGTTAAATCATTCACTTTAAGTTGAGATTCAATCTCGATGACACCCGAAGGATTGTTCCGACAAAGGGTGCTCATCATTCTTCACATGTAACTGACTCTTGAACCCTTCAAAGTGAATTTCTGGTAAAACAATGACCCGGTAAAAAAATTATTTTAGGTATCTAACCTTACCCAATCAAAAAAGATTTGTGACAAATCCAACAAGGTTTGTGACAAATCCAAAAAGGTATGGGGTATATTCGAAGGCCTCTCTATTTCACGGGAACCCAGCCTACGACTGGTCATTGTGGAGTTAGATAGCAAGGAAGCTATGGCCGCAATTGTTGTTGAACTGGAAGTTTGAGGAAGTTCTTCGATGGTGCCACACATTCGAAATTTCATGAGTCAGGATTGGAATTTCAAGTTTTCTTTCACTCCTCGCGAGAGCAATAGATTGGCAGATGAAATGGCCCATTTGGCGTGGGATCATCCCTTCGGGTTACACACCTTCCAGACACTGCCCTTGAAGTTGGAACTGTACTCGCGATTGATGGAGCTGGTGGTGCTTCACTGCATGGCAGTGAAGTTCAGTTCCTATTTGTGTTCTCTTCTTTATTCAAAAAATAAAAATAAAAATATACTCGTTTGCACATAGGCCTAAACGCCTTCGGCTCTATGAACCAACCTATCAAACCCAACACAAGGACAATATCAATTGTTAGAATTCGATTAATTTCCTTTCCTAATGACAGATTATAATTTTTTTCCTAAGTACTGAAAATGTCCAAGAGTAATCTTCATGAGAAAACTTCTACAATCTAATTTGAATATAAATATATCAAATTTATATTATTTCAATGACTAAAACTAGGAAAAGAAAATGCTTAAATATATTTTTGGTGGAACTACCCTACCTCAATATATAATATCCACAACGGATTTAGACTATTCCAAATCGAGTTCATATTCATAAGAGACAACTACTGCAACCTTGCTCAGTCCAACAAGTGTTGTATTTAGGGTTTTGAAGGACTTAAGCTACTTGAACTCAATTCGGTTAAAACTCGATCGAGTTCATATTCATACGAGTTAGATTGAGCAAAATCCAACTCAATTCGATAAGTTCACAAGCAGCTCGTTAACGTTTTTATATAATTTTGTAATAGTTTGGTGATTGCATGCAGCAATGAATAGAGTGAAGAGATGATAATTTCTTTATTTTTAGTATTGATTATATATCCTTTAACTTCTTTTTTTTCTTAAGAATATTTTTAATATGTCAATTTGATGTATTTGTAGATTGTTGCCTTAATTTTAAAATGTTAATTGTTGTATTTAAAGATTGTTATTTTGATATTTAGACTTTGAAATTACTTCATACACTCTTTGATAATTTTTTAGTTAAATTTGTTAATTTATATTTCTATTTAAGCTCTATTTTAGTAGATTTTACCTATAGTTAAAAAAATATAAAATTTTGAGTTTAACGAGTAACGAACTTAACGAGCAATTAGTCAAGTTGAGCAATTAGGTTTTTTAACGAGCACAACTCGAGCAAAATTTTAACGAGCAGCGACT